CATCAGGTACATTAGCCGGATACCGAGCCAAGCAGCGACTATATCACCCAGCTCGTCCATATTGATCAAAACGCACTTTTGCTCATCCAAGCACAACTGCGCCGCCATCGGACCATGCACCTACCCGCTAGAAACACCCACCAAAAAGAAATCCAACACGCCAGCAGCGTCACCAGCCAGTGATCTATATGGCACCGAGACTGCAATTAGGCAGGACTTTGGGTATCCAGCCGAGTACCACGCGGGATCATTCCCCTGGTTGTTAAGCGCAGAACGCCAGCGCGTGCCTGTGGACGATCTCTGTACACACGCAAGTGATCCCGGGCTTCTAACTACCACAATACAGTGGCTGCCCCTGGCTGCTCGTCGCAGGCTGGCGCATGCGCTTAACCTGCGCATTGCTGAGCGCGCATTGGGCTTGCACGCGATGGACTCGGTGTGCGCAGGCGCAGCAATGGCGCTGCCCGGTATCGCGCGGCTGCTGTCCAGCGCGTCCAGCAGCGCGACTCCCGAGGATACGGCGGCATCGCTGGCGCATGTCTTCTCGGCACCGCTGCTGGCGCGCTACACCAGCGATCTCGACCGCTTGCGCAACGACAACGTGCGGCTGGCGCTGGAGGTCTACTGCGTTAATAGCACGCGCATCCACCAGATCCGCACGCAGACTGGGCCTGCTGAGGCATTTGCCGCGCTGGCTTTGCTACAATCGTCGGCGTCATCGCCACCGTCGTGCTTGAATGGCTTGCGCGCGGGGCTGGTGCGCCAGGGCTACCGCTTCTCCAATGTGCTTGGCGCGTCTTACGCAACGCCAGTTTCGGGAAGCAGCAGCAGTGGCCAGTCACATTTGGAACCGGTCCCCTGGGCGAGCGGCGTGTGGGCAGCAGCGCAGGGCAAGGCCGACGATGTGCGTGTGCGCGTCGACGTCGAGCTGAACGTCGACATGCGCTATCGGCTGATCGGCCGCCACTCGGGGCCCTCCGGGTACGACCGGCACAACGGCACAACACAGGTCATTGTCGACGATGATGCCACGCGCAACCTGATCCTCACCCTAGAGTCGGCGCCGACCAGCACAGCATCGCATGGCAATGGCGCTGGGGTGTTTGAGTGGCGTGTCGCCGATATCGACTACCTGCTATCTAGCGAGAAGCGCATCAAGAGCGAGTTTGTCGAGGCACAGCATTATATTCACTGAGTTCTGACATTATTACAAAGTAACACATGCATCATCTAAACTTCTTTTATGTAAATAAAAAACCATTTTTGAAAGCTTTGTAGCAAGATGTTATAATATTATCATAATAATATTTTAATACAGATAAAGTAGAAAGGTGAAAAAGAAAATATAAAATCAGAAAAAACGAAGTGGTGTGGCAATTCACATATTAAGCCCAGTCCAAGCTGCGCTTGACAGCCTTGTCCCAGCCGGCCAGCATCTCTGTGCGCTTCTCATCCGTGATGCGCGACCAGAAAGCGGACACATTGGACTGAGCAATCTGGCGCAGCTCTGCCTCGTCCTTCCAAATACCAACGCCGAGACCAGCAGCCAGGGCAGCACCCAAAGCGGTGGTTTCGCGCATCTCCGGGCGCACAACCTCGATGCCCAGGATATCTGCCTGGATCTGCATGGCCTGCTCCGAGTTGGTCATACCGCCGTCGACACGCAGGCGGCGCAGCTCAGTGCCACTGTCCTTGCGCATGGCATCCAGGATGGCCTGGGTCTGGTAGCAGACGGACTCAAGGGTGGCGCGGGCAATGTGGCCACGGGTGGCGTACTGGGTCAGACCGACAATGCAACCACGAGCGTCGTCGCGCCAGTAGGGGGCAAAGAGTCCGGAGAAGGCAGTGACAAAGTAGACGCCGCCGTTGTCTTCGACAGAGTCAGCGAGGAATCCAATCTCGGAGGCAGAGAAGATGAGTCCAATTTTGTCGCGCAGCCACTGGATGGCCGAGCCAGCAACGGCGACAGATCCCTCGAGGGCGTACTTGGGCTCGGCGTTAGGGCCAAGCTTGTATCCGACAGTGGTCAGCAGCCCGTTCTTTGAGAAAATAGGCTCAGACCCGGTGTTGAACAGCATGAAGCAACCAGTGCCGTAGGTGTTCTTGGCCTCACCAGCCTCAAAGCACGACTGACCAACCATGGCCGCCTGCTGGTCGCCCAGGCATCCGGCAATAGGGATGCCCTCCAAGCGACCCTCGGTGATGGTGCCGTAAACCTCAGCGGACGAGCGAATCTCGGGCAGCTCCGACTCCTTGATATCAAAGAACTCCAGGCACTCGGCGCTCCACTTGAACTCCTTAATGTCCATGAGCATTGTGCGGCTCGCATTAGTGACATCGGTGACAAAGCTGCCGGTCAGCTTGTAAATCAGCCATGTGTCGATCGTGCCGAAACGCAGGGTGCCCCTCTCGCGCGCAGCCTTGACCTCGGGCACGTTCTCAAGCATCCAGCGCATCTTGACCGCGCTAAAGTATGTGGTGATAGGCAGGCCGTTGATCGTCGCAAAGCGGGATGCGGAGCCGGCCTCGTCGATGAGTCTGTGGACGAGATCCTTGGTGCGCACGTCGTTCCAGATGATTGCGTTGGTCAGAGGAAGACCGGTCACGCTGTCAAAGGCTACGGTAGTCTCGCGCTGGTTGGTGATGCCGACAGACTTGATCTGGCTGGCATTGTAGCCGAGGGAGTTGAAGCGACGGCAGGCGCCGGCAACGGCGGTCTCGACAGAGTCAAGGATCTCGATTGGGTCCTTCTCGACCCAACCGGCCTTGGCGTAGTGGTTCTGATACTCGCACTGGTGGCTAGCGACAATCTGGCCCTTGACGTCGAAAATCAGGAAGCGGGTCGATGAGGTACCCTGGTCGATGGCTCCAACAAAAACTTCGTCAGACTTGGACATGGTGGTTACAGGAAAAATTACAGATAAAAGTAGCAAGGAAGAAAAATAAAAGAACAATAAAAAATGTTGTTTGAGATATCAAGAAAGAAAAAAGGTCTGGACCTGAAGCGAAAAGATATTATTATGTGTTTGAGATACAGTGTTGGTCTGGATTAATTGAATGAGGCATGCGGCCGTTGCCTTTTTTATACCAGGAACAGAGAGGTCGTCTGTTGGTTGTAGAGGGGGGATAATAGCCAGTGAGGATGTATGAAAACGTCAGAGGGTTGTGGATGCAAAAGCACAGGCATAATGACAAAAGCAGACATGTGCATATTATCACCTTCCTTTTTTCACTCCCTTTTCCTCCGTCGGCGCCGTCGTTTGAGTGTGGAATGCGTGGGAGCAGAGATGCGAGGCCAGAATAAAAGTGTAGAGAAAATAAAGCGGAATTCGCACACTTTCTAATTTCGGACAAAACACCGATGCCAGGTAAGGCAGTCGCGTGAATCTCCCGTTCCAATTTACATTGACGGGCAGTGCTTCAAACACTATCTCAGAAGAAACAGCACTGCGTCCCAATAATACCTGTTTTGCCGTTATCTATTATCAAAATTTTACCCATGGCTGGTCCTTGCCACAAATACAAAAAAAGCACAGACGACGTTTTTTATTTTATGAAATGGCCACTCGCAATGTTGAAGGTAGAATACAGACACGAATCTATCACGAAAATCTCCAACCTTCTGACTCTCCCTGTGCGAATAAAGATAAATAAATAAAAAGCACATGCGCCTGCTGATTTCTTTTCCGCTTGTACATCCTCCATAAAGTTGAAGTAAATAAAAATGATATGGGAAAATTTACCCACAGATCCAGTATAAAGGTCATACTAAAGCTAACAAAAAGTTGCTTTGCTATCTCATAAAGCTAAATAGCAAGTGTAGCGCACGCGGATTGTAAATCCTAAGAGCCTCAACTCGTGCACCAGCCAAATCGATCGACATTTTACATTGTAAAAAGAGAGGCTGGAATATTGTACAATTTTGGATTTTTTTTGTTAAATGTCTGAGCACTGGGCCTCACATGGACAAAATTGCTGGCATGTGCAGCGCACGTCAATGAAAATAGGCAAGTAAATAAAATAAAGATTGACCAGCCGCTTGCCGCTGCCGCTGCCACTGCTTTTACCGCTGTCTAAATGATATTTACAATTCGGTCATTTTTATACGACGCAGCTAGATTATCTGCGTTTCCATTTGCTATTTGCAAGCTCCGTGTCCACGGAAACAATAAAATGTTTGAAAAAGTTTTACAGAATTTGGTTTTTTGGGCTTATTAATTTTACATATAAATATAAAAAACGCACGGTCCGACCGTTATATTCTTTGTTGCCACCCCCTTTGTCTGTTTGTCCGTATTGAGCCTAAAAAGTACCATTTTCCGCACGATCAACCTCGTATGCAAAAGGAAAGCAACCATCAGAAACATGAAACAACACCGAGATGCGGACACAGTTTGTCAGAAAAAAAGGCGCAAATCAAAAATGTACATGATTGTCCAAAAAAATTGTAAACGAAATAATTCCTTGAAAGGCTATTAATCGAGCATGTCCTGCTGACTGACTTTCACCAGCAAATAAACATACACTCATGCACTGCACGCATAAACGCATCATCCATCGCGTGTGACCCAGAATATGCAATACGCCCAAAAAATAAAGCAACTATTGTGTGTGCCAGTAATGTCCGACCGGATATTAGGCAGTTGCATATGTCAATGTATATATCGGCCGGCTTGATCAAACCAGTATTATAATGATTAAACCGAAATTGATTAAATGGAAATCATGCATGCTTTAAAAGCTACGAGCTTCTTCAAACTCGCTCTTGATGCGCTTCTCGCTAGATAGCAGGTAGTCGATATCGGCGACACGCCACTCAAACACACCAGCGTCATTGCCATGCGATGCTGTGCTGGTCGGCGCCGACTCTAGGGTGAGGATCAGGTTGCGCGTGGCATCATCGTCGACAATGACCTGTGTTGTGCCGTTGTGCCGGTCGTACCCGGAGGGCCCCGAGTGGCGGCCGATCAGCCGATAGCGCATGTCGACGTTCAGCTCGACGTCGACGCGCACACGCACATCGTCGGCCTTGCCCTGCGCTGCTGCCCACACGCCGCTCGCCCAGGGGACCGGTTCCAAATGTGACTGGCCACTGCTGCTGCTTCCCGAAACTGGCGTTGCGTAAGACGCGCCAAGCACATTGGAGAAGCGGTAGCCCTGGCGCACCAGCCCCGCGCGCAAGCCATTCAAGCACGACGGTGGCGATGACGCCGACGATTGTAGCAAAGCCAGCGCGGCAAATGCCTCAGCAGGCCCAGTCTGCGTGCGGATCTGGTGGATGCGCGTGCTATTAACGCAGTAGACCTCCAGCGCCAGCCGCACGTTGTCGTTGCGCAAGCGGTCGAGATCGCTGGTGTAGCGCGCCAGCAGCGGTGCCGAGAAGACATGCGCCAGCGATGCCGCCGTATCCTCGGGAGTCGCGCTGCTGGACGCGCTGGACAGCAGCCGCGCGATACCGGGCAGCGCCATTGCTGCGCCTGCGCACACCGAGTCCATCGCGTGCAAGCCCAATGCGCGCTCAGCAATGCGCAGGTTAAGCGCATGCGCCAGCCTGCGACGAGCAGCCAGGGGTAGCCACTTCACAATACTACTGCCGCTGCTACCGGCGGCAGCTCCGGTAGTTTCGAGGTCGCACATGGGCACGCGCTGGCGTTCGGCGCTCAACAGCCAGGGGAAGCAGTCCATGTGATAGCTCGCCGAGTACGACTCGCATCGAGGAATTGGCGTACTCTCATCGTACAGTGCGGGCCTTATATACCCATCAGCAGGGACTCGGGCAGAAGTGACCAGTCGGCGAGGAGTCTCAGCTGCTGCCAATTTCACAGTACCAGCTGGTGAGGTGGCTGCGCTCATTGCTTGTGCTGGACTTGGCGGGCAGCCAGCCACCGCCCCGACTACGTCACCTTTGCCTGTGCTCAGTGAGCGGCGAGCTGGGAGCATCTGCGCGTGTGTATTTAGACGAGAAGTCCAAGTCAGAGGGAGAGGGAGATGGCCGCCTCTGCTGCCACACAGGCTGCCGGCGGCAGTGACGTGGTGACCAGACAAGGTTATCCGGAACATAGATGATTGCATTAGGAAAAAGAGGAAATATTTTGACTGCGTCCGTCAAGTTTTCAAGCTGCGAATAGCTCGTTTTAAGTTGGGATTTGGGTTCTTAATTGCTGCCAAATAAATGCAAAGGACGTTTGAAGAGGAAAAAGATGGAATGAAACGAGTGTGTGTTTATGTTTGTGACTGTTAAAAAGTTGGTGCCTAGGCGGGGTGTTTCATTGCAAAAAAACAAGTGCTCTGTAGTATGCGCTAAAAGCCCTGTCTGTCGTTTCTGTTAGAACTATTGAGTAGTTCAGTTATTTTGTCACAAAAAATAAAATTAAATAACTGGAGAAAAATGCGGAGTGGCCGACTAGCAGCTGTAAAATCTTTCGTTAGAAATGAATATAAAAATGGATAAAAGTCAAGCTAAGCACACTTTTAGGGCCGACCGCGGCTGTTATATATAGTTTTTTGCTGGAGGCACAAAGACTTTGATGATTTTCCTCAACAAATTAAAAATTTATAACCGAAATTACGTCATATATCATGCACCCACTTGGCGAGTCAATTGAAAAAGGGCTGTTGCAGTTGCAATTGGACAAGCAAAAATACACATAATTTACCAGACCTTTTTTGTTTGGCTGACAGGCCTCCACGAAATTACAGAAAAAAGATTGGGCCCAAGTTTTTGTGTCCGGTCCAAACAATTTGAAGCTAGGCAACATTGATAAATGTGTATTGGTCTCTGGTTCATTTTTCTCGCACACTGTTTCAGGGATTCTGACATCATCAAAACATCACACTAAAACACAAATGTTGTGATACTGCCCCCTTTCAGCCGAAAGAAGCGGCTGCAAACAAAAATGCCCACCGCTTCCACACCTGCATTTTCTCATGCAAATATCTGGATACTTTGTTTTCCTCATGAATGCCTAAATTAAAGCCTGAAAATTATTAATTAAACTTCAAAAAATCGTGTTGCATGGCTCACTTGGGTGGCTGGAAAGGCTCGAGCAGCAGCCGCGAGAACGACTTGAGCTTTTCGACGCCACGAACTTCAGTTGTCAGCAGCGGCAGCAGCGTAACATGGAAGTCCTCGTAGAGGTCGAATATCTGATCAAGATACTTTTGCTGCATCTTGTGCCGCACCTTGCATTGATCGCAGTTGGACTCTTTTGATGGGAACAGCAGCTGGTTGACCACAATATTGTGAGTGTCAATGTTGCCGCTGGTCAGCTCCTGCACCAGGCGTTCTGTCTCGTAAAGGGAAAGGAACTCGGAGATGCACACGCACACAAACGTGGTCTTGTCAGGGTCCTGGAACTGACTGTTGACCTCTCTGATGACCGCCCGCATGTCCTCAAGCTTTGAGAAAAGATCCTCATGGTTGGTGCCCGCGCCCATCATTCCCGACATCTGCTGCATCATCGGGCCGAATCTGCCCGAAAGCTGCGATACCTTGGACAGTGCCTTTTCTAACACCGTGGGGAACGAGAGGAACCGCAGCGTGTGTCCAGTGGGCGCCGTGTCGAAGATAATCACCGAGTACTCCATTGACTTGACGAGCTTCATGACCTCGGCAAACCCCATGGCCTCGTCGACGCCCGGAATCGCAAAAGCAAGATCCTGCATTATTGAGTTCACTGCGCTGTTGTCTGCGCCATCAATCATCTCCTGAATGCTGCTCGTCGGGTCAATCTCCATGCAGTACAGATTGTTGAACCCACTCACCAGCGTTGGGTTCTTGCCAAACTTTTGCCCAAATGCATCAGAAAGGTTGTGCGCCGGGTCCGTCGAAATAAGCAGAACGCTTTCACGCGCTGCCGCCATTTGGATTGCCAGCGAAGAGCTACAGAGAGTGCGCATCATTTGCCATAACGTTGGCGTGTTTTTTTAGGTTAGCGCCAAGTGTCTAGCATTTAAATGTGCTTAGCAAATTATTCACGCCTGTTTTGCGATTTTTGATGTTGCTGCTGCTTTTATTATGATAATGTACCTGGTTGTGGTTTTGCCAACACCTCCTTTGCCACCAACAAAAACCCACTGAAGCGATTTCTGGTCAATAACATTCTGGAGAGAAGGTGCGAGCTGCTGCGATTCGTCGTCGGACATTGTTAATACTACTATAAGCGCGGGGAAATATTTCAGCCCTTTTTAAAAGATAGTGGGTGTTAAAATACTAAGGAAAAAATACT